GGGGGGGGGGGGGTAAACAGAGATGTATTTCCACTGCTGGAAAAATGTAATATGAAAGCAGCCTTCTTACTGCAGAGTAGTGGATAAACAGAGCAACAATTTAGACTTTGTAAAATATATTGCACTTTTGGACTAAAAGCCATCTCCCGTTAGCGTTCAATTTGGCTCGATTTATGAGACGTTTTATATGAAAAGTAGACAATGAAGCAATTTTTTAAAAAGTCTCTACTTCAATTTGTTCCCCTCAGCGCTACTATTCATTCTCGTCGTGTTGCTTATTTCCACTTGGATACAGTGCTGTTCATCTTCATTGTTCTATATTTATGTTTTTGCATGTCTTATGCAAACATTGAGCTTTTCACTCAGTGAAATAAAAAAAACCATACTGAATAACTTTAGGCCTGTTTCCGGTGTCAGTGTGTTTTTGAATTTTAAAACATGTGTATGACACATCTTTGAGCAGATTCATACCTTCTGCTTTCACACAAAACAACCTCGAGTTTTATGTTTTATAAGCCTCAACTGTGTGTTTGTGTGTGTGTGTTATTGTGCCAGGCAACACTGACAAGCATTTGGTTGATATGCCAGGAACAGGTTGAGTGAGTGTATGTGTGTGTGTGAGCAGCGTGGAGAGGCAACAGTTGAGGCTGGGAACATACACGACAGGTGTGCACTGCATATGTGGTCACATGATGCCTATAAGGCAGATTAGGGCCCAAACAGATGAAGCGCTGCTTAATGGCAGCTTTTATTAAGTTCACAAAGCATGGGGGGGTGGGAGGGGGGTTGAGCAGAGGAAAAGCAGGTGGCTGGGCCTGTGCACTCGTAAGATGAAGACAGATATTGTACAGTGTAGTCTGAAGAGGGTAGCCACTGTGGAAGGATTTATGGAGATTTGTCTATCCTGGACTTACTGCCTGCCTGTTCCCCAATCCTGCAGCAATAGACAACGAGGGAGAGCTGGGAGAGAAAAAGACTAGCTAGCAGCTAGCCATGAAACCAAAGTGGGTGAACATGCATAATGAGAATAAAGTATAATAATAATAATGGTCAGCCACTGTAACCACACAGAAGGCTCAGAAAGCAAGAAAAAATGTGCAGCATGTTAAATATCAGTCCCAGGAAATTCACAAACTAAGTTAACATTTGAGAACATCCATGCACTTCAGAGAAATGCCAGCTGATTAGGGCAACTAACAGATAACACAACCTACTGTATATACACATTCCTGCCACTTCATTAGGGACACCTGTAGCTCATTAAAACAAATAGCTAATCCGCTGAAACTCATTTAGTGCATGCAAAAAAAAAAGGCATGTAGCCACAATTGAAGCTTAACGGAAAGTGTGGTCACATGAACACGTGCGCTGTAGTGAAGAGTAAATATTGTGCATGTTCAAGTGGATTTACAAAATTAGCCTAAAAAGTCAAAAGAGCAGGAACTTATAGTGTGAGATATAGATTCGTACTTTTTTAGGTGCAGCTGAAAAAAAAAGGTGTTGATGTGCATAATCGTGTGTGTTCTCACTTTGAGCGTACTGCACTGAGGTAAAGTAAAGGTGTGAAATCCACAGAAAACTTTAGATCAGTAAGGCCAGCGAAGGCACACGAGATTGGTTGTTTTGAGTGTTTGCACTGTATGCACTTTGTGCGACGACTGCTGACATGAAAGAGCATCCACAGCGCCATGTGTTACGACCTCAGACGTCGGTACAGTGAGAGGTATTCACAGTACATTTCAGTTAAGTCCACATCCCTTTGCCAAAACTGCCTCCAGGCACATGTCACTGAAACAAACAGTGCTCCTGGTCTGCTCTGCCTGTCTCCACCTTTGTTGCTTCCTGTTACTGTAAGGCCACATATGAGTTACTGGAAACTGGCAAATGTTGATTTATTGGAGTGGAAAAATAAAGAAGAATTAAGCCATCATTATCAGGATTTTAATTTTAACAAAGGATAACATGGATCAACTAGACAGTCCTAACGATGAACTTATTATTGCTGACTAAACTCTGGAGTTCAACTTCTTTCCATTTTAGCCTTTATTTGCTTTGATTTTTTGACTCTAACTGTCCTATTTTGGTTGTGACTCCAGGATCATTTCTGGCATTTCGTGGCATCATTTACTTCTGAACACCAAGAAACTGGTGGAGACCAAAACAGAACATAAATTCTGCTCCTGTAGAAACCACAAGTTACTAGCCACGTTTTTCACATTGTACTTACAATGTTGTGGAGAAGAACTACTCTACCCACAATCAGAAATTGAAACCAACCAAGCAGTGATTGTAGTCAGAAAGCAATAACACGGCTAAACTTCACTAAACACACTACATACTACAAAAGATATTTAAACCTATTGTTATACCAGAAAACACGGTAATGAAGAAGATTGATATAAATTTTAACTAATTCAATCTGTGATTATCTTGAATCGTGAATTTGGGGTGTATTATCTGTGTGTGTGTGTGCGCGCGCGTGTGTGTATTAAAAAAATCCCATTTAAGTCTTTTGTATGACCATGATTCATTTCAATCCTGGTTAGCTTGGTTCAAAGCTAAAAACTCTTAATCGAAGGATTTTTTCATAACGTCAAGAGTGGAAATGAATCATTTTGAGAACCACAGCCCATAAAAAAAGCGGGGGATCACTGTTGAGCTCTATAGGGTATGGTTTAGAGTAGTCAAATCCAGCCCTCGCTTATCTCAGCTCGAGGCTTTGAGTCAAGACCAGCTAACCAGCGGCTGACGTCATGGATGGATGGTGACTACATCCATTTTGTTGACACACAATCAATAGTATAAATAGGTAGCTGTGTATTTGTTTCCACTGTATGCAGTTGGAAAAAGAAAAACAGGTGAAGTAGTTTTGATGACCATTTTATTCGTGGTCACTTGCTAGTTAGCATGCCCGCTACCTAGCCTGCTGATGCTAGTGCTTCTGGGCATCCTTAACAAGTAAAACCTTTCATCTTGGTCTTTTAAAAAAACAGGAACATGTTGTTGGGGTTTTCTGTAGATTAGCTTACTTAGCCATGTACTTGCTTCTGCGGTTTAAAAATTTCCTTGTGACGTTAAGCGAGAAAACAAAAAAAAGTTGATTTGCCATGGGAGCTTGTTGTTTGAACGTAATAGTAATAGTGAAGTAACAAATACGTCTTCACTCATTCTTTAAAACCAATCTGGTTGAACCACTGAAAACAACTTCACGTGGTAATGAGTACTTACAAAATCTTTTCTTCACCTGAGTTGATTTACAACACAAAAGAAAAAAATTACATGAGCAACCACACTAAGGTGGTTTTCTAGGGAAACCATGGGGTCAAATTTGACCTAACAATATCTTACAGAGTAACTCAACAATTCCAGGTAGCGAATTTTGTTACATTCAGCTGGTTAACAGAATTCAGACAATGGACCTTGGGAGATTACGATCCTGGAAGAGTACATCTACTCAGAACTGGCACACAGGACCTTGAGAACACCCAAAGTGCAAAAGAGGAGAACTGACTCAGCGATAGTCACTCAAGTGGTATATTTAATA